TGGCGTTTCAAGTTTGAAGCATAACCGTTGTTGGCCATGGCAACAAAAGGTTTGGTGATGTATTTGATAACGGGTTTCTCTCTGGCCGTGCTATCTGTATACTTTATCAACAACCATTCCATCAATGTCGGACCCGTGGTTCTTTCATCTTCGGCCTCAAACGTTTTACAAAATTCTTCAGGACCTGATTCCAAAGTTTGGCCGGTTCGTATGTGTTTTTCTTACAAGAATACTCACATATATGTATATGAGAGTTTTATGCGCTTATGTTTTAACTTTAATGGTTTGCTGGGATGTGGTTTTCTCTTACTTTTTAATCCTTCGTTCTGGGTACAGGAATTGAGGTTTAGTTGGAGAATTGTATTGGCAACTATAATAGGATTCTTGGGTTCAGCTTGTGGAACGGTGGGTGGTGTTGGTGGGGGAGGCATCTTTGTTCCTACGCTTACTTTGATTGTTGGGTTCGATACCAAATCTGCAGCTGCCATTTCAAAATGTAATTGACTTGTTCTTGATAAATTTAATTGGATCTGTCTTAAATTTTTTTTTTTTTTTTTTAACTGTGTTTTCATTCTCAAATTAATCGGCTTTTCTATGAAATAAAAATTAGTGTCGAGTAATTGAAAATCAGTTGTTTTAAAACACAAAATTGTGATTGAAGATTTGTGGTTTACAAATTATTATGTATACTGGTACAGGTATGATAATGGGAGCATCAGCATCATCAGTTTGGTACAACTTGAGGGTGCCTCATCCATGCAGAGAAGTGCCAATAATTGACTATGATTTGGCACTAGTTTTCCAGCCCATGCTCATGCTTGGCATTACACTTGGTGTGGCTCTCAGTGTTGTCTTCCTCTATTGGCTCATCACGATCTTAATCATCGTTCTTTTCTTGGGTAAAATATTTTTCTTGTAGAAATATAAATAACTGACGATGAAATAATTAGTTTAATGTATGTTTAATCTATGGGATTTGAGAGCTTTAGAAGGGAAGCATTAATTATTGATCCTTATTATAAGCTAAAGAACATCACTAGGTTTGACTGAAAATTTTATGGTTTTTTTAATGTTTTGTTTATTGCCAACAGGGACTTCATCAAGGTCCTTTTTTAAGGGGATAGAGATGTGGAAAGAAGAGACGATTTTGAAGGTTAGTTGGTTTAATTTAAAATCTGTTGCAATAAGTCATCAAAACAGTATATTGTAAAGAAGATAAGGTTATAGAGAAAATATAATATTGCAGAGCTATTGAAAGAACTAATTAAATTTTATTTATAATAAATTTGAGGTCAACTACAAGAGCTATCCAAACATGAAACATATAATTGGATTGTGTATGTTACTTATGGTTCTTACTTTATGTGTCTCTTTGTTTGGATTCGATAACTGCAGAAACAAATTGCAGAACAACAAAAAACTTTTGTCAATGCTCGTGGGGAACGTGAGTACTTAGAAAATTTAAACAATTACATAGTAGTTAAAGAATTATTTTTAGGGAAAAAAAGAAGGAAAAAGAATATCTGATTTTCTTTTTCTCTTCATTTCCTTCTTTCCTCAGTTCTGATTAATACTGAGTATGAGTCACTGGTTCCTAAAGAGGAGAAAACTGTATTGGTAAGTCAAAGAGTTTCTTAACTGTCTGTTTATGAATACCATTAATTTGTGGATGTTAAAATCATCATTTCTCATTATTCTTTCAGCAAATTATGAGGGACAACCTTAATGTAAAGCGATTTCTGGTGCTAATTCTTGTATGGATTT